TTTCGTTCCTTTTTCTCTTAGATTTAAAATTCTGTTAAATTTATAGTAAAAATAGTTGAACGAAAAACTTGTGACTCGCGATTATGTTTGACTTAAAAAATTCTGCATTTTTGAGTTTCAACGAAGTACATATTGGGTTGTTCGAGTCCCCGCCATTTTACTTCACGAAAGATTGAAACCTACAAGAAAATTAAACGTCAGTTTCATATTCGTGCGTATAAAGTACGTTTTATTTTATTAGATCTATGGAAAGTACTGGTCATTTGCCATGCAATTATTTAATAGAAAGTTTTTTTTTTCTTATGTCGTAGAGTTGGTTAAAAGTTGTGAAAATTTGTTATTGTTTTTCCACTTGAAACTTTCTGACAGGCTTGGTATAGTTGTACAGTAAATAGAAAAATTGGATTTTTGTTAAATTCAACGCGTGTCTTCAGAAAAACGTCACAACACGGAAACGAAACCTCGAAAATAACTAATTTGCAATTCGTAATACGATACGTAGTGGCGCGAATCTAATTTTATAACGATTTCACATACGCTTGGAGGACGTATTTCCGGTTTTGCGTTGCATTACGTTTCACGACATAGTGAATGAATATTATCCAAGTCGTTTCATAATAGTTGTACGGGTCGATACATGACAAATACCCATACAGTACATAATTATGCGTAATATGAGTCGTCTTTTAATTTGGATTTCAGTTATAAATAATATGACATTATACTTTTGTTAATATTGCCTGTTTCTTGTATTCTAAATTATTGTATATAATTTAATTACACCATGTCGTTATACATAAACGTAACAGGTAGGAAACGATATTAGTTTTATAAAAATTATTGTATCAAGTGTGTAATTGGCTCCATTGTCATTGAATACACAATAGAACTAAATATATTTTTCAAGCAAAGATTGGATATTATACACGTAATAAACCTTGCAAATTGACTTTTACTTTGAAGATCATAATTTCATGTCTTCCACAAATTCATTAACAAATAATTCGTTCCTATTATTTGCGATGTTACAAATTAGACAACATTGTTAAGTTTCCCAAATACTTCACCTTGCGAACGTCGACTATAACGATTAAAATCGCAGCGTTGAAAACGTCGTGCTCCGAGTTAGCCCCAGTTATGTCTGTTTTGGCAAATAAACCTTGATTTGCATTGATATAACAATACGTAATACGAGTTTGCGAAACGCGAATGTTTTCCTACGCGTACGCCAGCGATAAGTTATCTGAGCAATGCAAATCTACCATTTTGCCATTGTTTGAAGTAGACGGTAAGCGAGGGAATTGATTATACTACTTCTGTTTAAAGCCTCGTTCTTAGAACAGGTACGGTTGCTTTCAAAAACATACTCTGATAAAAATTGTAAAAAAAAAATCAATGCCATACGAAAAACGCGAACAAGTGTTCTTTCGGTATTTTTTATTATATTTTTATTATTACCTCTGATGGAAATTAAAATTTGAATATTTACCATATCTTCGTGAGAGTATCACCAATGTATCGATGATGTTTTCCTGATAAAAACAAGTCCAAACACTAAGCTGACTATTTCTAATTTAATTGAAAGCGTTTTAGAAATTCTGAGAAGAATATTTCATAAATTTAAAATACATTGACGCTGCATAACATGTGTTATTGTTGCAAATAATGGGAACTCAGAGGCCGTTTTTAAAAATCTTCTATTCACATGGATGGTTAGATTTGTAATTTATATTAAAATAATATTCTATGCTAATTATAGTTATAACAAGTATTTTTCTAATTTCAAATTTTCAAATGTTTATATTTGACATACTTTAAACTTCAAAATATCGAATTGGCTGGTTGTAGATTATTTAAAATATTCATTAGACTAACAATTTTTAAAACTGTACGAAATAAAAATTTAACGATATAATTGCCAAACGTTTGTGGCACTGTGTAAGAATCATTGATTCGTGTATAGTAACAGCTGATTGATCATTTAGTCGTAGGGAAGTCGTGCGTGCAATGAAATTGCTCGACGACCATTTCATTTTATTACACAAACACACGAAAGAGAGGCACAAGTGTGCATCTAAGGGCCTATAGCGAAATGTAAACAAACGTGGCGTAAGTATTACACGATAATGCGAACAACATAATTATCTCAGCTTTGCTCTGAAGACCAAGACATTTAATTACTACCAACGGTACCAATTATTTAACCTTGAAGAATGTTCGAGGGCACTCATAGTCTTAAAGCAATTAAATTTAAAGAAAAATAATCGATAGCTGAAATTTATTTTCAAATTAAAATTATTCATTCGTTATTATAGCATAATAAATTCACCCTAGATCCAAGTCAGACAATTATTTCACGCTCCACAATACTCATAAACCTTTCTCCTTTAACACACTTTAAGGTCATCGAAATCAGCGAGGTATTTAATGTATATAATCATCGTTATTGTTAAAGAACGTTTACGAGACTGGATTAGGTGAGGTCCCAGAAACGTGTCAAGGAAGTGTTATAACTCGAGTTTCTAATAATTACGTCTTTAAAACTGATAATAACCATTATTTTTCGTTCTGGAACACTCTTACACCTTTACCCTTTAAACATACTTCAAGGTCATTGAAGTCGTCGATACCACAGAGGTCGTTAGTACCATAAATAATTATTCAATCCTGACTAATATATTCGACACAAACCCGGAAGCTTACAGTATTAAAAACACGCGGATCGTGAAAGTTTGAAAAGTCTTATCTAAAATGAAATTCAGTTACGTGCGTGACATTATTTTCTATCGCGTAACTCTCGTGTCACGCATATGAACGTCAGTCTCGTGCAATCAGGTACCAGACAAGAGCCGAATTCTCCATTTTCTATAAACAATTTTCTCAAATAAACGATGCGAAATCTTATCTTCCATATTTGCACGCGACGATGGAAATTAAAACGTTTAAATTTTAATCGAATAATACGTAACTAACGAATCTCGAATTATAGCTAATTGTATCGGTTTCTTGTCAAATATTCAATTTTTTAATTAAAATTTTGCCATTTGATCGATACTTCCTTATCTTCTATTCGTTATTCGAAAATTTACGATAAGAGATTATGTGGATAAGAACTGTAACCGTCTTTCGCCTGAAATACACGATGGAAATTTTTAATCGAGTCGTTACTATTTTTAGAATAACAAAAGTTCCGAGCTTGGTCGATTTGTGAAATAAAGGATTTGATATTGATATCTTTTAATCTGCTAAACATTTTTTTAAATCTTTCTGTTTTTAACTTCTGTTTCTGCAGAACTACCGACAAAATTACACAGCAAATAATTTTCCATTTAGAGTGGGGAAAATATTTTATAAAATTCTATAAAAGAGTACTATCTGTTTTTGTTTCAATTTTCATGCGCTGAAAAATGCAAGAACTTTCTGTAAAGATCCAATTCGAGTGTAATTACGCCTATCCTTACATCGGTAGCTCCATTTCGACTTTTGCACAATTGCAACATCTCGCGGAGCAACTCGTATCCCGCTATAGTTCCATTTGGTTAGAAATTCTTGGCATTACAATCAGCGGGAGTCATTAAAACAGCGATTCGTAACCACCGTGCTGTGAAGTAGACAACACCGTACTGGGAATGTTTGATAAAGGATTTAATCAATTTTTATCTTCCACGGTTCTTCAAACTATTACGTGATTCTCTTTAAACTTGTTAAACTTTTCTACAAGCGTGACCCTTTTTTAAAAAAAAAAGAATTAAAAGCCATTGATATGTTTATTTTAAAATTAAACTGTTGTTATTTATTTTTACTGAATTTTCACTCCATTAGATATGAAGAAGTATTTAAAGAATACGACTCGACTAAATGCTCCCAAAAAGTGTACTAATAAACAAATTATGTTGCAAATAATATGATATTTAGAGTAACGTGTTTGTAGAATTTTCTTGAACTGAAATTTAGTTAATATACAATTATAAAATAAATGTGAATAGGAATTGATTCTTTCACCTTTTAGTTTGGGAAACACTATCCTGCAATACTATACTTATAATCTTGTTAATATTACACTGGTGAACTCTATAACCATGAATCTATGTAAAAAAGTAGAATTCAACACTTTGGCAGCCATATACATACATATAGATGACAGGATTTTCCATTATGAAACCAGAAAAATTGTAGGAAATAAATTAGAATAAGATTTGTGAATTTTAGCAAGGTTACAAAAATAAATTTTAGGTTATATAGTTTACACCGATTTAAAATACATATTTTAATCCTGCAGAAAATTGAACCGTTTCCATCTGGCAGTGAACATGTTAAATGATTAAAAAAAAGCATCTTACTATCAACTATTATTCCAATCTATCGACAAGCATAACACACACTTTAACACTATTCTAAATAAAATGATTCAAATACAGTATTCTACAGTTTTCCAGGATAAAAGATACTCTAATTCATTCATATTTTAGAGTTACAAAGTTCGAAAAGTGCTGTCTACGCTGACCGGAACCGCCGCCATGTTGGTACCGTTTTCACACGAACGAAGGTTCTCGCGACCACCAAAAAAAACAAAACACAAACTTGTTATTTGCTTCGTCGAGAATTCGCGGAACAAAAAAATGATGTTTAGTGACGTTCGATATTTCGTACGCGTGCCAAATGACTTGTCATCGTGGTTCTAAGCTGCGTCGCGTGCTCGAGAAGGTTAAGAACCACTGCGTTAGAAGATCGGAATACGTTAACCTGCGTCGTGTCAAGGATACGTGAGCCGCGATCGAGCATCCTCCAGGACCACGTCCGGCAAAACGGATCCACGGTTTTGAATGAGTTTTTGAGTGGGCAACACCGAGTGGGGGGTTACGATGATGAAGTCAGGAGGTGGTGGATGGTGAAAAAGAGGGAGGGGGGGATCCGAGTGTCGATTGGGGGGAGGACAGGCAGTGGAGAACCAGCGATATATGAAGGCGAAACTGGCGCTCCGCAGACTCAATAGCCCAGAAACTCCACGTGGTGTACCGTCGAACACATCGCATAATTCGCGTGCGACAGAAACGGATATTTTTCTTCTCTTCCGTTACCACCGTGAACGCCACGGTTCACACGTACTTACAGCCTGTTCGCGTTAACGTAATCGCGATAGTTACAGTCCATTACCGCGACTGCCAGTTCCCATTGTCTTCTCGTTTCGAAGTCATCCTCGGTGCCCGAAGAGGGGGACCACGCGGGTTCCTTGTGACCGGTGATCGATCGGTGCTCGATAACCCTCGAGAGATGATAGCCAAGCTCAAATGAGAGAACGATCGTCCGCTGGCAGCCAGCATCTGTGAACTGCGTGAAGAGGGTAGCAAGCACTGTTCTCGAGGACCTTTATCAGTGGCAAGGGCAAAATGGGCAAGGGGTGGAAAGGTACGTCGTTTAGTTCTCATTGTGTGGAGAAAAGAACGTGATAAAATAGCCTTGGTACACATGGTTCGACGAATTTAAGTAATATACCTGGGAAGTAAAGTAATTCGTGAATTATTGTAGCTTTGTTAACTTCGTTTCACACTGCCAGGAATTAATTTTTAATTTGAATTTCAAGAAATATTTACAGGGTAGTAAATATATATAATTTGAATCTATAAAAATACAGATCAATTTAAATTAATTACAATCCATGAGAATATTCTTCCTATTCCTATAATTTTAATCTTTCCACTGATTCTCCTCTCTCAGTTTTTAATTATAAAAAATTAAATTCCGATTCTAGATTATAACGACTGATCTTCTTTATTTAAAAATACAAAATATTATGGCTTTCTTTAATGAGGAACTGGAGCAATTTACTTTGTAATTTTATACGATTCAGCGAGGATTATATTTTTCATTTTCATACGTTATATTTATTTATAGTTTACTTGAGAACGTTTATAATAATTTGCAATAAAAGATTGCTTTCACAATCATTAAAGTATTAATTTATTCCTGAAGTGTATAAATTTCATATTTGTCGAGCAAGATAATTACAAGTTAGTTTAATACATAATTTATTACTTCATAAACGTTTCGATCCGCAGTTTTAGGCCCCTTTTAGTACGATTAAAGCAAACATAAATATTAGTTCAACCTGAAATGTAAAAATATGCGTGAAACAAAACCTTTTAATAAATTATAAGATCAAATATAATAAAGATGATTTATACAAAATTACGTAAAACAAAAATCGTCGTTTGTAATAACTGTTGAGTAATAATGTACAGCGAAACGAATGACCAAGAATCTAAAAAAAAATGTTATAGTTAATAAGGTAATGAACATGTTATACTATTATAAATACTACTTTATATATACAAAGTTATACTATCAGTAAAAATCATTATTCTAATGAAAAAATTGAAAGAATGAATTCCCGTACGTTTTTAATTTCATGTTAGAGAAGCATACTAAAAAAGAAGAACAATGAATAGGTTAAACGTGTACCTGGGAAGAATATTATGTAATATTATTCAACTTAAAAATCACATAACGTTGAAATTAATTTTGATATCCGCAAGAATATGTTTTTCCGCATTTTCTCTAAATGATGGTGATACTTAATGGATTACCGCGATACGGAATTAAATACCTACGTAGTATAATTACTACACCAAGTGTCATGCATTTATGGCTCAGAATGATAAAGAACACGTTAGCAGAAAATATTTTCTAAAATAACACAACAGTATTTATTTTACATTTATACATAATTACATTTTGTAATGTTCAATGAAATGTAGAATTTTGTAAAATCAACAGTAAATACGTTTGTTACAATGGGAATCGAGAAATAATATATTCACCCTTTGCACTCCAAGGATTAATTTTAATAGCAGTAACTGGCTACTTAAATGCAATTTTGTGACACTATTTTAAATAATATGAAGATCGTTCTTTCTCCCAGAGAAATTTATAAATATTTGTAATTTTTAACTTCTACGTTTGTTTCGTTAATTAGTCTTGTGTTGCTATAAATAAACCTTAAATCGAATTGGACAGGGTTAATAATATTTGTAATATAATATGACAACTTTAATTTTATTTAAAATGGCGTCACAAAATTGCATTCAAGTAGCCAGTTACTTCTATTAAAATATCATAGAACTTACTGTATCAAATAAGATTTTTAGCCACAATAGTAATTTAACGTATAGATCCATTAATTCTATTAACTAAATTCTATATTTAAATGTGTATAGAAAAGAATATAAATTTTGTAGCATATAATAAATATCAATTGATTATAAAGACTCGAATCGAGTAAAGGTTAGATTGTTGTAACGTGACAATTATTCTGGGCTGAAAAAGAATGTATGACTCGGTCTACATTTTCATCAGAATCAGACAAACGATTCTAAAGCCTGACTATTTGTTAGAAATCATGAACTATTTCAATGCTAAACACGCACGTCGGCGATATCTCCGTTTCGAGCTGTTGGTTCGATAATGAATTACATATACTGGAAAAATTGCTGTCTCTTCACGGTGCATGAGTCGTAGTAAACGAAGCTAGGCAGCAAAACCGTTTGCACAGATGGCCAAACCCGACAAAACAATTCCTAGTTTCGATTACGCATCAACAGGTGCCTTTTTATCGGACGTTTCGCGTTCGAAAAAGCGCGCTATACCAAAGAAAGAAGGATGAGTCCTACAAGGAATCGCGAGTCGTACTGTGTCAGACGTTTTAATCAGCCTTCGCGAGGTCTGCAACTGTGTAACAATTACTCGACACTATTCGCATTCTACATACTGATTGTGCTGCATTCTCCTTAAACCGGGATCGATCTTTCTTTTCTCATTCAATAACAACTATCGAAGATCGAAGTCGAGATGAAATCGAGACTTGTTACACGACTTTGTGACGCGAGTCTAATTGAGGTTAGAGTTAATCAAACTATACGTACTGCTTAACGTTACTTTAACACGTTCACTGGCGAATCAAACCCCTCAAATTGTCCACGAAAACGAAACTTTGCTTTTAAATTGAAAACTAGCCACAATTTGTCGTAGAACTTATTTTTATAACCTCGTTAATATTCAAGAGTCCTATCTAGATTTATATTCTTTAACATCTAATTTTGAGAATGTATTTAACTCCTTAACAAAATGAGGTTAGGGCTAACTAAACTATACGTATTGCTTGACGTTACCTTAACACCTTGACTAACAGCCCCTTAAAATTGTCCACGAAAACGAAACTTTACTTTTAGGCAATTAGAAACTAGCCAGAATTTGTCATGGAACTTATTTTTCTAGTTCCTTAGTGAAAATTCATGTCATCCATATATGTGACACGAATTAAAATTCGTTATTCGACTCTAACCTCACTTTCGATCAGAGGAAATATTATTCGTGATTAACGAATACAAATTTTATTTTGAGATCCACTCAACTAGCTTTTACCCGCGACTTTGGACATCTGAATGTTAATTCTAAAAGGTTTATTAATGGATTCTAATGTACGAATGAAACGCAAATCGAGGTTAGTTTATGAATGAAATGTCATTAATATATAAATTAACAAACTACAGTTATTCAAACTTAGTGTAGTATACGTTACATTTGGGTAGAATTAGAGTTAAAAACGATATTCATGCGAATCATGGACAATATTTTGTAATGTAAATAAATATAAATATACGAACAATAGGACTATTCATCCAATTTTATTTGATAATACGAATAATCTTCTTGCTCGTAGCTTTTCTAATTTAACCTCAAAACATGTATTTTCTTACCACGATGATCGTTAGAGAAATTACTGACAAGAAGATTGATTGTATTACCGAACAAAGTTGGACGAACAATCTACCTATTATTCGCATATTTATTCGTCATTATTTAGAGCGACCAGACTCATCCATTAGATAAAAATAAACGTACATCGGATAAAAAAAAAAAAAAATTGGCAATTTTAATAAAACTTTAAACTAAGAGGAGATGCAAAATTTCATCAAACACTAATCTTGGAAGAGTAAAATTCTTATTTAATTATAATTTTTCCATAAATGTGACAGAGAATATGTTAATACAAAAAAATGTAGTTTATGTTTATTTTTCCCCATCGAAACTCCTTTGAAAAACACTATTTTACGCGATACCCGCCATATTGTCTCTCTTTGTATTTAACAATTGTCCAAACATTCGAGAAGGATTTCGATGGAAATAACAACGTTGCATCCGTGCATTCTATTTACACGATGTCTCGTTTTTGCGTCATACTACTCATTGACTTCTGTTGCATAATCAGTACAAAAAGGGAAACGGAAAGAGTACAAAAACATCGGTACATTTAATTAAGAATTATCATCGCGTTTCGGTGATTGATGCACCAACAAAACGAGCCTCTTCGCTGAAACTAAAGACGACCGAGATATGCATTTTCAAAAGTCTCGTCGACTCTTTGACGCTGTCGAACCACGGTGTCCCATTTCTTTTGTATCCGCGTGTCACTCGGACTTTTACGTCGCCGAAAAGAATATCGCAACACCTTACTCTCAGCCGCCATTGCCTGCAAACTATCCACAAACGCAATAAATGGAAAGTAAGGGTGTCAGGACACCCTTCTGTTCGAGTTAGACAAGTTAAAAATACGTTAAACAATTTAATAAAAATCTGTAAGTAATAAGTTTATAATAGGTTAATAGTCAAATGTTTTTCAAATTATCCGAATTTTTATACTTCGTTCTAGCAATTGACTCGGTTTTGATACCATTGAGTGATAATAACGGTTAACTAACAATTTAAAATATATTTACTCGTAAATCTCGTTTGTCTAAGTTGTTTGATTATTTGTATGCATTGACTTTTAATATTTTTAAATTCAGATTTAGTAATTTTATTTTGATAGTTTAAGTAATAATGTCGATTTGATTTCACTGTTTTGCTCAGGTGCGAAGGACTTCGTGGGCATCGAAGAGGTGACGAAGATCGAGTTCCTGGTCATGATGTTCGCTGAAGCTTTGGGAACGTTTCTTTTAGTTTTGATCGGTTGTGCATCGTGCATCACGTGGAACGACAATCATCCACCCACCGTCGTGCACATCGCGTTCACCTTTGGACTAGCTGTCGCGAGTCTGGCGCACGTGAGTCTTTCGAACATAAATAATTTTTCAAAAATTAGAAATAAAATTTTCAATATATAAATTAAATTTTTTCAATGTAAAAGAAACATTTTAAATTGAATTACAATTTTTTTAATAGAATACATATTTTCAGTTTAAAATAAACTTGTAATAATATAGTCTATTTGGTCGAACAATAGAATAGTTCGTCTCGTTATCTCTGTTATTTTCAAAAACATTAAAAAGGACTTTGTCCCGCGATAAATACAAATTAATAATTTTTTACCAAAATTATCTTTGTTATTTTTTAGAAACGTTGAACAATTTTAGGCACGATAAATACGAATTAATAGTTTCCTACGAGAAGCTGCCAATTTCTCTGATTCTGATAAGAATTTTTTACAATGGAAAATTTATACAATATTAAATATTTTCAACCGCAATATTTAATTAAAAATAAATTTTTTCTATTATTTAGTAATAATAAAATTAGTGAATTTAGTATATTGAAAATTCTATTCAATAATTTGATATGTATTTATATTATAAGAATTAAGCAAAAATTATATTCACGTCTTTTTGTTTATAATTTAAAGTCAGTTCTGCTGAGCGAAATAAGATTTTTAATGGCTGCAGTATTCTTACTGTACTAAGGTAGCATAATCATTAGGCCTTTAATTGAAGTCTTGTACGAAAGAACTAATCAAATATAAACTGTCTTTATTGTAAAATTTTCATTTTCGTTTGAAGTAAAAATGACTTATAGTGAATGCCTTTCCTGTTTATTAGGGACAAATATCAATAAAACATTATTTTTCACTAATATAAACAGTAGTCGTTCGAAATAGTGAGAACAAAATAAGAAATGAAAAGAAACGAATATAAAAGAAAAAATATACAGAAAAAGTATGTAAAAGTTATGTTAAAAATACATAAAATAAAGCAACGTAGTATAAAAAAGCCAAGGGATAGAGGTTGTAATACAATAATATAACCAAATCAGAACAAATAGTGTTAATAACAAATAATTTAAAAGAGTTGTAGATAAAATTACTACATATAATTACATATAACTGGCTGATGAGATATATACCTAATAACGTACTATAGTGTTCGATATAAAATAACGAGGCAGGTCTAAGGTTTCTAATTAGCGTATAGAACTTACTTTTGTGCAAAATATCACGACATGCAACATGGTAATTAATTAATTAATGCGTACGAGAATAATAAGTCAGTTATGATTATGCGTTCTCTTCAGAGTTATTAATCATAGCTGCAGGCATCGAGCATTATAGTTATGACACATAACCGACATACGAACACCCAGTCGTATGTTTTCATCCTAATTGGTACAAAAAAAATTTGTTTAATTTATACATTTATAATGTAGTCAATGTAACCACACTTTTAACGTTTTCGACTGAAACATTTATAACTTATAAGTTATTTATTTATTTATTGGCTTATAAGTCAATTATAAAAATATAATCGTTTGATTTTTCTTAAACATATGCAAAGTTTCAGATGTATTCAAATTAATAGTACATCAATTTATAAATTAATGCTATTGTTAGTAGTTCAAATTGATCTTAAAAATGTGTGCCTTGGAAGTTGTTTGCAAGTTAATATACTATAAAGTTTAATATCAATCAAACAAATTCTTATATATTATTATTTTTAAATACTTTATGAGTCGAAAATATTAAAACTGTACTTATGATAACTAAATTACAACTATATAGTTTAAAAGAAAATGAAACTGAGAAGAAACGATCGATTATAATGAAGACGTAAGGACACCACATAATTGAACCACATAAGTGAAGAAGTTTCTAATGTGACAACAAATACGTATAATAAAATTAAGAACTTTCCCTATTATATTACAGCAATGGTAATGAAACGAATAATTTTTGTAGTATTTACACTAATTAGTGGTACAGAGTCGAGAACATAATTGTGATTTATGTTACTCCCTCTTATAGAAAAGTAATATGATACTTGGAAAAATTAAGTTGCAGATCGTTAATAATACACCATCCGTTTAGTATGCATAAATCATCGATTAGTAATAGCTCATCATCGCTGCTAACTATGTTGCAAAAGACTTTCAGATACGTCGGCATAAAGAAGAAATATATTACAAACGAACACGCGCGGAATATCGTTGATGAATTAATTAATCGGTAAAAGTCCTGAGTGAGATCCTTGAGATATCCTCGATTATTTTTATATTTATCCCAAATATGAAATAGTCAAAAATAACCACAGTATATTTTTTTAAATAAAATTTTATCTAACTCTCGTGTCCAAAGACACGATGTCATCGTTGACACAAAATAAACAACTTAAATACGTATTTACTAAAATTCCATAGAATGTTATCAATGCTACGAAATAAATTTTATTTATTTTGAACTATTTACTGAATTTTTGGTAAGCGGTTCGCGTTCTCGTGTTCAGGTGCGTGTTAAGTGCGTGATAAATCGTTTACCACCTCGCGTTTATCTGATTTCATTGAATGAGTAAAAGTAATCGAGGGACTCGCATCGTCCTATAAGAATTGTGTGCCACCAATACTCTGGCGAGGACAGTGACTGGAGGGAAGAGGGGATTCCATTCACCTTACTAAACTGCCGTGTCAAGGGAAGTTTCACGAACAGACTGCTTCCACTACTCTCACTATCGTTCGTTCACTCGTCCGTATCGTTATGTTTTCTTCTTTTTATTATACATATTTATGGACGCATCAATTACTAACGATTACACTGGATCGATTACTGATAATTACATTGGACAACAAATTGCAAGCAACAGTAGGATTAAACTTACACTTGAAATTGTAAATGAAATCCCTACTTAAATAAATTCCTCTTTTATTCTTAATTAACTGTGAATTTAAACGGATATTGAACTTTATATAAATGACAGGTATAGATACGATAATTGTAATAAGTTTTAAGTCGTTTGTAGACAATATTTAAAATACTTCAATGCAGGAGCATCAATTTTTAATTAAAATTTATTAATCTATTTAACAGCTACAATTTTTCTAACTGTTTTGAGTAAAACATAATATTAAACTTGATATAAATTGTAGATATGGACACAATAATTGTAACAAATTTCAAACCGTTTGAAGATAATATTTAAAATAATTCAATGCAGGAGCATCAATTTTAAATCAAAATTTATTAATCTATTTAGCAGCTACAATTTTTATAACTGTTTTAAATAAAGCATAATATTAAACTTGATATAAATTGTAGATATGGACACAATAATTGTAACAAATTTCAAACCGTTTGAAGATAATATTTAAAATAGTTCAATGCAGGAGCATCAATTTTAAATCAAAATTTATTGATCTATTTAGCAGCTACAATTTTTCTAACTGTTTTGAGTAGAACATAATATTAAACTTGATATAAATTGTAGATATGGACACAATAATTATAATCTGTTTCAAACTGTTTGAAGATAATATTTAAAATAGTTCAATTCAGGAGCATCAATTTTAAATCAAAATTTATTGATCTATTTAGCAGCTACAATTTTTCTAACTGTTTTGAGTAAGACATAATATTAAACTTGATATAAATTGTAGCTATGGACACAATAATTATAATATGTTTCAAACTGTTTGAAGACAATATTTAAAATAGTTTGAGGCAGAACTATCAATTAGAAACCTAAATTTATCAATTTGTACAACCACACTGCTACAGTTTTAACTGATTTGAGAAAATCATAATATTAAACTCTATATAAATAATAAATATCGACACAATAATTGTAATAAGTTTCAAACCGTTTGAAAAGAATTTTTAAAATAATTTGATGCAGAAGTAACAATTCTAAATCTAAATTTATCAATTTGTACGACCACGCTGCCACACTTTTTCTAACAGTTTTGAATAAACCATACTTTATAAAAAGAACTGTCTTACAAGTAAAGCACATATACGATTACCATCCATATTGTTATTATATTGCAATTCATCATTTTTCACTGAAGTGTCACGCAATTATTACGCGTGGAACGTAATACAGAAATAAATCAAAACTCGCTTACCAACCCGACGCGCGGCAAAGTTTAAGTACCAAGTGTTAATAACCGAACGTGCAAAATTTTATCGTGATGCGTGCCATTTGACCGAAGTAAAGTTTAATCCTGACCTATATTCTCCTTTGGAACATTATCTTCCACGCTACTCATTGTCAAATTTCGCAAGTTTCATCAATCTCGGTACCAACAAAAACAATCCCGAAATAAATTTTACGTATCTGTTGCAAGTCTCTTGATGGGTCGAAAGGGGCGGTCACTTTTTTACTGGAGTCGAAAGAAACAGTGTATAAATAGTAAGAGATCGTTCGACGCGACAGTCTTCTAACAAACATTCGTTAATAACGATGAGAATCTTATTTCGTTAACAAAAATTTTCCTCTCGATGTAAACAGTAATTTGCTACCTATTTATCAATTTAGCAACTATAACGTTGCTAACAGTTTGAATAAAACGTGATGTTACACTTGAAATTAATTTGTAGATATCGACACAATAATAATGTTCTGAGTAATAAACATTTACGTAAATTTATCAATTTACGTAGCAACTACAATTTTTCTGTTTGAATTTTACAATTTTTTAAGATTCTAAAATATCACATCCCTTAAGACTTTAACACTTTGGAATTCAAACAATTAATTCTCAAGCTGAAACGTTAAATAAAATTTTGAATAAGATTCATAAATTTCAATTTACGAAAATAATTACTAAGACAATTTCTAATATACGTAGTTCACGATGGTCCAAAATCAAAGTTTTGGTCTCACAAAAAATTTTTAAATTTTGAGGGGTAAGACCACTGTAAAAGTCTAAAATAAAGCGTTTTTTTGCGATTTTTTTTTTGAATGGATGGAAAAGTAAGAGGACAATAATATTCAAGAATATTATTAGCCATGTCGTTAAGTGTTACAAAAAAAAATATTTTTAAAAAAATAGTGCAAAATGACGA